TGTCTCAAGAAATAAAATAAAAGAAGGATCTCCAGTGCATTGGCAGTTTAGAAAGATACTAAATAAGCCGAGTAGTGGTGGCTCATGACTTTAATCCCAGCACTCCAGAGGTGGGGCAGATCTCTGTGAGCCCCAACCTGGTCTACAGATTGAGTTCCAGGACAGCCAGAGCTACACAGAGAAACCCTGTTTCAAAAAGAAAAAAGAAAAGAAAAAGATGTTAAATACTAATAAGTGATTCCATCGAAGAAGAATCACTTTGGGCTTCAGAAGAGAACTCGGGCTCTCCTAAGACAAGCAGGGACAGCTCCCTGGAAGAAATGGATTGTCAGATGGGCCTCAGAGGGTGGGGACTCATAGGTGGAAACTCGGAGTGTTTAGCTAAAGGGTGAGCCAGCAAGGGTGCAGGAGAGAGAAGCCGAGCTGAAGGAGACACCCCTTAGGGCAAAGCTGCTCATAACTAATGCCACTGGTAGCAGGGAGCTATTGGAGATCCCCAGGAGTTGGGAAGGAGGGGGCCCGATCAGATCTTGGTCAGAAAGTCACAATGAAGAAGGACACTGGGAGGAAGGGACAGAAGGAGGCAAAGGATTGGTCAGGAGCCATGGCTGAGGCACAGGGTGAGAGGCTGAGAGTGTGACTTAGGGAGGTGGCTGCAGAGTCAGAGCAGACAGGGTGTGAGAAGCTCTGCAGAGCAAAGAGGCTGATTGGATAAGGGGAAGAGTTCCAGGAGGATCTGGGAAACAGATCTGGGGCTTGGGAGAGTTAATGAGGCCTTCTGGGGTGGGCGGCCCTGTGATCTAATGGGGGCTGCTTCCCTGGGGGAGGGAATTAGCTCACTCCACCTGGGTGGAGACGCTTCATTAAGAATGCAGATGCCAGGCTCCGGAGGGAGGTCAGGGCTCCGGAGACAGGGCTGGAAGCTGGGCTGAAGCAGGAGCTGAGGCTGTGGGAGTGAATGAGATCACAAGAAGAGACACGTGGAAGATGAAGGCTGAGGACAGAGCCTTGGGGGCCACCCACAGTTGGGAGGGACAGGAGCAGGAAGACAGGGGACCTAGGAGAAATTAGAGCAATCAAAATGTGGGAGGTAGAACCTTTTCTTTTTCCTCCTCCCACACTACTGGGGCCCTGTGCTCCCCCTCACCTCCGTGAGCAGGACCACAGGTGGCTGAGGGGCTGCCCAGTTTCACCTCCAAGGCTTTCAGAGCCACAGGCAGCACAGGTGACCAGCACTCAGGTGACTGGCTCCCTTACCCCTCCTTCCGGCTGTGACCTTGCAGAGCAGCGGAGGAGGGGGAAACACGGACCATCGAGGCTCAGGCTCCTCACCTTCCTAAGGGGATTAGCACAAGACGATTTCTATGTTGGTTGCTGTGACTATTAAGTGGGATAATGCGTGTTATGCATTTGGCACTCGGGCCAGGCAAGCCCTCAGAGCTCAATAAATGCTGGCAGCTGCTATTATGATTATTACCGTGCCGGGACTGGGTTCTGGCGCTGGGTCTGGCACAGCTAAGGTGCCCAGCAGCCTCTCTGGAGGTCTTGGTGAAGGAGGGGACCAGGTGATTTGCACTCGCTGCCCCCATCCTGGGGTGCTGGAACTCGTCCTCACCCCAGAGCGAGGGAGGGTGGTTGCAGGACACTATGTGTCTCCTCCCGGATAAATAAATAATCCTACGATCTGAAGGACCCTCACACACACTGCGGTCTTCAACTTCAGTGAGAGCTGGGGTGGACCTTGGGCAGTGGTTTGAGCACTTTTCAGCGTCTGGTGCTTACTGGCTCTGTGGATGGGTCTCCTCCTCCAGGGAGGGCACTGTCCTGTTCTCTAGTCCGCGGCAATTTGTCAGCTCTCGAGGGCGCCGCCACGCCCCCTCTGCGCACGCGCACGCCGTCCTCGCCAGTCTGCTGTAAGGACCCTGACTCTGCTCGCGCTCCAGCCCCGGATTGGTGTTGACACGGAGGGACGCTCCTTTCTGGGATCCAGTTGAGAGGTGGCAGTCCAGGGCCCCAAGCTGGGCGATTACAGGTTCTCCACTATTAGGAGCAAAGGCACCTGGTCTTTCTCCCCAACCCCCAACCTCCAATTTTGGATCAAAACCCAGCCGAGGAGCTCCTTGGAGACTGGGAGCTGTCCACTACTGGAGCACTGAGATCTTGGGATGGGACTGGGAGTGTATGTAGTTCAGCTGGTAAAGGGAGTGCTTAGCTGGTTCCATCCCCAGCACCACGTAAACTTGGCTTACTGGTGCGTGTTACCTCAGGCCTTGAATGATAGAGGCAGAAAGATCAGAAGTTCGAGGTTATCGGTGACTGCATAGCCTGCTGGAGACCAACCAGGGATACACTAAATCCTTCCTTGAAGGGACGGGTGGGGTGGTGGTGGTGGGGAAGACATTGGGTAATACGTTCTAGTTTTTCTGTCCCCTCACACACAGAACTCTGAATCTGGAACTCAGAGCCTCAGTTTCCCCTCCTCAGTATCAAGCTAAGATATCTCATTAACCAGATCCTGAAAACAGGTCCAGAGACCCCCTGGCCCCCCTGGCCTGTCTTTCCTCAGGGGGTAGATGCAGAGGTATGGTCCTCTGAAGTCTAGGGGCCACTAATCCCTCACCCCATCTTATCCAGACTCCAGGAAGCTCCCTGAGAGGAGCAGGACTGGATTCTCTATCAACTCGGCTGGGACTGGGGTCCTAAAGCAGTCTAGGTAGGAGTTTGATCCTGGGAGGCCCCTGTTAACTAGGCCATCACTGGGGATGGGCAGTGGAGGCTGGAGCTGACCAGCTTGGTTCTCTGGGGGAGGCAGTGGCTTTGAACAAACCACAGACAGTTTCTGCAATATCAAAAAGAGCTCTTAGAGACTAATCACATAGGGGGAATGGGGCAGCTGGAGAAAGAGCCTCTGCTTGTTTCCCATCAATGGAGGATCAAAAAGCATTTGGTCAAAGAACCTTTAAATACCTTGAAAGGCAGGTGAAGCCGGTTCAATGGGTTCCAAGAAGGATTAAAACACCAGTCTGAGCTGCAGACAGGCTGGCTCCAGCCACAGCAGTGCTGAAGGGAGAGGCCACAAAGGCTAGAGGGGAACACTTTAGGAATAGATCCCCCCAGCCCACCTCTCTCATGAACCTGAGTCATCATGGTGAGGGCAAGGAGTGCAAAGAACTGGGCTGAGACTGTTGGAAGCCACCTTGTAGAGAGAGCTTCAGGACAAGGGAGCTTTTCCTAGAAACTTCAGACCACACACTTACTGATAAGCAAAATGTTGTATCTATGTCTGCATTTTTTTCCTAGGGAAATGAGATCCCCAGAAGGACTTGAGACACTACCAAGATGGTAAAACAGCATCCCCATGGCAGAGAATGGGAAGCAGATCCTTGGAAGAATTGAGGGTCTTACCCCAGCTCCCTGAGCCTGGCATCAGCAAGCTGAGGAGTTTCCAAGGGGCCTGAGTCAGTCTCAGAGGTCTGGAGCAGCCCGAGAGTCAACGAAGAGGCCTGAGATCAAGCTTCCCTCAAAGGCTGTAGCTGTCCCTAGAGGAGCTGACTAGAAGAAGGCCACCTGTTTTCAGCTTGGGGGCTTTGGGGGCCGATGCTACGAAAGCTGAGTGAAGTATGCTATCAGGAGGAGCGTGGAGGAAAGAGAGACAGGCGCACAAGATAGCTTGGCAGGTAAAGGCACCTGCCACCAAACCCTATGATCTGAACTTGGTCCTGGGAACTCATACAGTGGAAGGAGAGAACTGATTCCCACAAGCCATGGCATGTGCATGCTCTCTCTCTCTCTCTCTCTCTCTCTCTCTCTCTCTCTCTCTC